CTGGTCAGTTTGTCTCAGTTAGAGCATCAGCCGGGTTTGATTAAGGTCAAGGGCATGTACCTTGGTTTTGGTTTGTCTTCAGCTCAGGTTGGGGTCGTGCCGGAGTTAACCAGTCGATGTGCCCCTCTCAGATCGATGTTTCTTTCTCTCTCTCTCCCTCTCTCTCTATCCCTCCCACTCTATTTGAAGATAAATGAAAAATATCCTTGGGTCAGGGTTAAAAAAAAAGAAGTGAAAAGACAACCCATAGAATGGGATAAAGTATTTGCAAATCATTATCTAATAAATGACTTGCATCTCTCTTGCTCTGGCCAGTGTGGCTCAGTTGGTTAGAACATCATTCCATGTACCAAAAGTGTCTTGGGTTCAATTCCTGGTCAGGGCACATACCCAGGTTGCAGGTTCAATCCCTGGTTGGGGCGTGTATTGGAGACAACCCATTGATGTTTCTCTCTGACATCGATGTCTCTCTCTCTCCCCTCCCCCCACTTTCCTCTCTTTAGAATCAATGAAAAAAAAAAATATATATATATATATATATCCTAGGTGAGGATTTATATATATATGACTTGTATCTAGAATACATAAAAAATGTTTACAAGTCAATAATAAAAACACAACCCATTTAAAAAACGGGAAAAGGATTTCAAAAGACATTTTTCCAAAGAAGATATACACATGGCCTATAGGCACTCATTAGTCCTTGTTAGTCTTCAGGGACATACAAGTCAAAACCACACTGAGATCCCACTTCACACTCACTAAGATGGCTATAATTGAAATCACAGATAAAACACGTATCGGCGAGGAAGAGAAGAAACTGGAACCCTCACACATCACTCGGAACTGAGTGCAGCTGGCGCAGCCACTCCGGAAGACAGCTGGGCAATTCCTCAAAAGGTTGAACACAGAGCTTCCCAGAAGTTCTACTCCTAGGTATATACCCAAGAAAAATGAAACATGTCCATAAATGTTCACAGCAGCATCATTTATAATAGCTAAGAAGTGCAAACAAGCGAAATGTCCCGTCAACTGATGAATGAATGAATGCAATGGTATAGCCATACAGTAGAATAGTATCTGGCAATGAAAAGAAATGAGGTTCTGAGACAGGCTACAACATGGATAAACCTTGGAAACATTAGGCTAAGGCAAGAAGCCAGTCGCAAAAGACCACATATTATGAGTCCATTTGTATGAAATGTTCATAATAGGCAAATCTATAAAGACAGAGAGTAAATTAAAATCTATAAAGATAGCCCTGGCCGGTTTGGCACAGTGGTTAGAGCGTCGGCCTGCGGTACAGAGAGACCCGGGTTCGGTTCCCGCTAAGGGCATGTACCTCGGTTGCAGTTTGTCCCCGGCCCTGGTCAGTTGTGCGGGTGGCAGCCACTCGATGTGTTCCTTTCGCATCGATGTTTCTCTCTCTCTCTCTCTGTTCCTCTCTCTCCCTCCCACTCTACCTGAACAAAGAATGGAAAAATGTCCTCGGGTGAGGATTAAAAAAAAAATAAATAAATAAAATCTATAAAGATAGAAAGTGTAGGGCTGGGGGTGGGTAGAGAAAAGGGGAGTGGTCATGGGTTTCTGGGGAGATAATAAAAAAATGTTCTAAAATTGATTGTAGTGATGGGTGCACAACTTAAAAGTCACTTGAATTATACACTATAAATAGGTGAATTGTATGGTATATGAATTATATCCCAATAAAAGTGTTTTTTAAAACAAAGATAATTGGCTGTTTAAAGCAAAAATTATAATGTATGGTTGGGTCTTTATCATAGTTTTGTAAAAGCAAAACGCATGACAACAGCTCAAAGACAAGAAGGGGGGACAGAAAGACACTGTTGTGCTGTTCGTATGACATTCGTGAAGTGGTATAATGTTATTTTAAGGTAGACTGTGGCAAGTTGAAGATGTATATTGTAAATCCCAAAGTAACCACTAAGAAAAACAAATAAACACATAAACAAAAGAAATTTCAACTAATAAGCTAACAAAGGAGACAAAAGAGAATCATAAAAAAAATACCATCTCAGAGAAAGCAAGGAAAGAAGAAAGGGAGACGCAGAACCAGCGGGACAAGCAGCACACTAATAACAAGGCAGCAGACTTAGACTCACCCATACTGATATTTAATGTAAATGGACTGAACGCTCCAATAAGAAGCCAAAGTTGCCCTGGCCGGTTTTGCTCAGCGGTGAGAGCGTTGGCCCGAGGACCAAAGAGATTCCGGTCAATGGCACGTACCTCGGTTGCGGTTCGGTCCCTGGCCCTGGTTGGGCCATGTGGGAAGCAACCGGTCAATGTGTCTCTCTCACATGGATGCTTCTCTCGCTCTCTCTCCCTCCCGCCCTCCCTCCTCCCACTCTATCTGAAGATAAATGAACAAATATTCTCAAGTGAGGATAAAAACAAAAAAAAAGCCAAACTTGTCAGACTAGATGAAAATGATGCGATTACCTATTTGCTTTCTGCAAGAAATCCACTTTCAATACGAAGTCGGAAAGATGAAAAGGATGGGAAGAGATATGACATACGAACACAAATCAACAGAAAGCTGGGGTTATATTGTGTCATATTAACATCAGACCAGCTGGACTTCAGAACAAGAAACATTGCCAGAGATGAAGAAGGATGTTTCATATGGATGAAGGGGTTAAGTTCTTGAGAGGATACAATCTTAAATGTTTATGTACCTAAGCACAGAGTCCAATACACAGGGCGCAAAACTGAACAGAACTGAAAAGGAAAAAAGGAACGAAGGAGAAGCGCAGGCGGCAGCTCTAGTCGGCAGCGTGGAGAAGGGAGTGGAAGCCACGGTAACGAGTGTGACCACCGGAGACGAGCGTAAGGGAGGAAAAGGAACCGCGCAGACTCCTGAGACACATACAGCATTTCCAGGGTGAACAGAAGACAAGCTGAAGGAAACAGAAATAATTATCAGCATGGCAGGTGGAAAGGAGTGTGGGGTCGTGGAACGCAAGGGGAGAGAGAACAAAGGGGGGAGCTCCGGGCTGGGTCGAATGCTGCTGAGAAGCACCCCGAACTGAAAGGCTGCTGCTAGATTTGCAGGGAGAATCTCTGGAGACATGGGCCTGAGAAGCGGAGGTGGTGAAGTGAGGGCCGAGGCCAGGTTGCAGTGTATCGAGGGCTCAGCAGGAGGAGAGGAAGTGGAGATAATAATCACCGACTTGGATTTCAACAGGTTGGGCTGAGAAGGGCAGGAGAGAGAGGAGGCTGGTAAGTCCGGGTATTTTTGTTTTGTTTCTTAACCGGGTTACAGTGGACACTGGGGCTGATGAAAATCCAGAGGCAAGAAGGAATGCTGTGTCCCCATAAGGCTATGGCTGAAACGTCTAACTTGGCTGTTAATTATGATTGTTCCTGACCTGTGGAGATATGTCCCTAAAGCTCAGCTCTTGACCCTGAGGCTGCCTGGCTCTCACCGCCCTGTCCATCCACTGACAGCCCTGTGTGCCCACACAGGACTGGCCACCATGGGTGGAACACCACACTTGAGGGCACCATTTTGAATTATGCAGTTTTCCGGGGATGCTGGCGGAGACTTTCAACAGGAAGAGACAGAGTGGTGTTGGGGCCCTGGGCAGAGAGGCACCAAATCCCCAAAATGAGTCATCCCAGAAACGCGGTATGTCCAGGAATCCCTGCCAGCCAGCCATCAGCAGATCCATAATCCACAGTATGCCAGGGTCTCTGCTCACGTGAAGCAAGGTCATGACCAAAGGACCCCTTACTCCTGGGGAGGCTCTGGACTCCCCACACTGCAAGGCTGGCTCCCTGCCCTGCAGTGCAGAGGAAGAGCCGTGAGCAGGGGGCCTGCTTTCTAGTCCTGACTCTGCCATGAACTTGCAGTGTGACCCTGCCCTGAAGCCTCGGGTTTTCCTGTTAGACAGGGGACGGGATGTGGGATCTCAAAGACGCTTGCAGCCTTGACAGTGCATGGGCGGTGGGCGCAGGAAGAAGACTCATCAGCTTACGTCACTCAAATTGCACCGGCTGCAGAAGACAGAGGAGCTGAAGCACCAGTCTCCTTACAGTCATGCAGCAGAGTCATCCCCCTGGGGCTCAACCTGCACCCCACTTCCTCCTCCTCCTCTTCCCAAGAGTCTCTGAAGTTGGCTCAAGTGATACACCACTCCTCCCATTTCCTCTTCCTGAGAGCTTCTTTAGTCTAAAAAGTCAGCCTAGTTGGAGGCTGTGTGCAGAAAACAGGAGGCCCTGGCCACGGGGCCATACCTGACACCCACAGCTCTCCAGAGCTTCCCCTCCAGGACACCCTCATCAGAGGCCCCAGCAGAAACCCAGGACCAACATCTATAAGGGGGAAACCAGAGCCCCAGATGCCCCCCTATTTCTCTGGCCTGGTCCCTGGAAGGGCAGACTGATTCTGCAGGCCCTGGGGACCCTCAGCAACCATGCTGCAGCTGTAGAGGAAACCCTATCATCCTGTTTCATCTGTGCACAGGGCTGAACCCCCTCTCTCGCAGGGCATTCTTCGGGCCAAAAACATATCCTAGGGGCCCTGCCATCAGTAGAGCACAAATGAGGTCCTGGTCAGGAGTCCCGGACAGACCCATCTCCTGACTACAGAATTCAGGCCCGGGGATGCCAGTGGGGCAAGCGGAATGCAGGCCTGGGTATTCACACAGTGGGAAGGGATTCCCTCCGTGGTCCAGGGAAGGCCCGGCTGACAGCCCAGGGCAGGCTGGGGAGCAAGCCCAGGACTCTGGGCCTTCTCACGAGCACCATCTGGCTGAAGTCAGGGCGAAAGGACCACCGAGGATCCAGCAGGAACAAACCAAGGCCACAACGGCCACAATGAGTGCAGACTTTGCTCAGGGGTCACGCCCTCCCCTGGGCCCCATTTCACGCTCACATACCCCAGCACATATGGGGTCTGTGGCCACCAAGCCACCATGTTCTGCCCACCACCTCCCTGCACAATCCTGTGGATGGCCCTTCCCCTTCCAGCTCACCGAGCGATCTCCCTTCCTTCCTTCCAGTACTTCCTCCTGGTTGTTCTCCTGAGGAGGAAAAGCAGGGGTGACTCCACGCCCTCGTTGCCTCACCTCATCATTCCTGCCCCTTGCCTGGCCAGACCGCGGTCACTCAAGGCCTCCTTCGGGGCCCCGGTCTCAGCCGCTTCGGGTGGGAGTTAAGTGGGACCAGGGTGGAGGGACTTCCGTCGGGTGCTCCCTCCGTGGGGCCCAGGACAGCAGGCAGGCAGCCCAGAGTGAGGTGGTAATGACCAGAGCTGTGGGGACGAAGCACGGGGCAGCTGGAGGCTGGAGGGAGGATCCCACCAGAAGAGGCCGAGGGCAGGGGCGAGGAGGTGCTGAGGGCAGAGGCCTCCCTCTGGTGCAGGAGGCCCTGAGATCCAGGGCGAGTAGGGGAGCAAAGCCTCCTTGTTCACCTGTGTAGAGCCCAGGCTCTGAAAGGGATGCGAGGTGGGACCCCATGTGGTGATGGGGAAGGGGAGGCCTTGGAACTGCAAAGGGGTGAGGTCACGGAGGGGTGGGTGGAGTGGACGCGGGGTGGGTCCATGGGCTAAAGGGGGGAGCGCTGAGTGCTTACCGATCTCTTCGGTGGCCCCGTTTCAGGGGCCCAAGTTTCCTCTGTTGCTTTGAGTGCTGAGATCCCATGGGCCGGGGAGTGCCTCCTGGGAACAAAATCCCTGTCTTGGCAAAAGGGCACAAACCCAGAAAGAAAGCAAAGGGGCCCTGGGCCTCATGGCAGCCAGAGGATGGGCAGAGTTTGGGGGCTGGTCCTGCTCAGGCTGCACACATCCCGGAGCCTGGTGCAGTTCCTTGTCTCACTGGGCTGTCCTGAGCTAGCACAAACCACCGGGTGTCTTCCTCCGTCACCGTGGCAACCGTTAGACTAACAACCGTCACTGACTCATTAGGACGTGGAAACCCTCTCTGCTGGTCACAGTCTCCCTCCTGAGCCCCACAGGACTAGGCTGAATCCTCAAGGCCTAAGCAGCCATGCCACCCAGGGACACCCCAGTGCTAATTTCCATAGCAACACAGAGAGGATGTACCCCTGCATCTATGGTTACTATAGCAACCCAGGCAAAGCCAGATGCACTGCAGACAAAGGCTCCATCTGGAGGACCACAGTCAGAGGACTGACACTCTCTGGTGGCCAGGCCTGTGCCAGGAAGGGTTCAGCAGCAGGCTCTGGGCTGGGGGATTTCCTTGTCTGTGTCCTCAGCCTCCTGTCCTCTCTCCACCTAAAGTGTACCTCAGTGATCTTATCCCCTCATGGGGCTTCAACTCCCACAACCCTTATATCAAGAATGTCCATGCTGGCATCGTGGGCCCTCTTCTCCTAAAATCTGGACCCCTCCATCGACCTGCTCTCTGAACACACCCCCGATGTCCCACAGCACTTCACACTGAGGCACGCAGCTTGGGACATCCTGTGAGTCTGAGCATTCACCTCGGACATTCTGTCTCTGAGTGACACTCCAGCCCCCAGGCACATCACAGCTTCCTGCTCGTCCCTGTCCACCTTCTCTGCCAGTGCAGACAGCTGTCAAACCCTTCTGAAGTCACTTGCCAAACACCTCTCACTGCACCCACCACTTCCCTAGACCCACATCCGTGGGAGGGCCGCCCTGTCTGTTGCCCAGATCTTGGCAACAGGATGGTGTCTGCCTCCGGCATGCTCCTCTCAAATCTGTCCTCCGCTGGCACCAGAGTAAGCTGCGTGCTCAATGCAAACCTGATCACATCTCCGGACCTGCCTAAAAGCCCGGCAGAAGCTAGGCTGTGGTGCTCTGCCCACGTCCTGCCAGCCCCTCCAGCCTCACCTACCACCCGGTGCTCACTCCTCCTCCAGTCACGTCACCTCTGCCTGTCTGTTCCCTACCTCCAATCCCACTTCTTCCCCCTCCGGGGGGACACTCTCCGTGTCAGCCACACTCTTCAGTGGGTGCTCAGAACAACAATCAGGACTCACTGGGATTCGATTGCAAAATTCTGAGGGGAAAATGATGCCTAGATGCCAAACCAGACATTGCTGGCCCCACGCTGACTGGACCCTGGGGGCCTCGGCCCCTCAGTCTCGCCAAGCAGACAGGTAAAGACTTGTGGGGCGACTGTAAGCCACTGGGGAGGAGGGGGCACAGGTGAGCCATTCTGTTAATGTCCATGGCCTCCAGAAAACAGAAAACCACAGACTGTCAGCGAGAAGGGTATCTCATGCCCACCCTCCTAGCACAGACGGGAAAATCAGGGAGGAAGGGTCAGAAGCAGGTCTCCCATCTCAGTCTGCTGTTCTCTCCACTTTGACACAAGTCTCCCAGCTCCAACGGTGCACGAAGGGCTCCTGAGCAAACACACTACCCAGGCAGCTGCCAGGTAGGGAAGTGTGTGTGTGTGTGTGTGTGTGTGCACGCGTGCGTGTGCCCACCTGGAACTGGAGACCTCACCCTGTCCCTCATGAACTCTCAGATGTCTTCTGTCCTGTTGCTGGCTGGCTGGAACTTTCCAGTCCAAGGGCATCTCAGGGCCGATACTCAGGTCGCCACCTTCTCAAGCAGCACCCTCCCTGGTCCCCTCCTGCCTAAGATCTCAGGCTTACACACTGGTCCACACATTAAACCTGGGAATGTGAACCAGGAAAAAGCCACGTCAACTGCAAATGAAGCCAGCTTCCTCCAAGAGGGCCCATCCTCACCGGAGGCTGGTGGTGGGGCTCAGCCATGTGACCCCTGGGGGAGGCCAGGGGAAGGATGGACAAAAAGGATCAGGAACCTCAAAGCTGAATCGACTGCATCCCTCAGGGGTCACACTTCCCGGGGCAGGAAGCCCTTTAAGCTAAGCTGGTGGACAGGTGATCTGCAGCCTCTGTGGGCATACTCCCGGCGTCAGGGTGCTCACGCCTCCCAGGGGGGTCCCTCCACCTCTGCAGTTTCACCTTCTTCACTTCAAATCCAGCCCAAGCACACTTCCTTCAGGTTCTAGTTCTGTCCTCCAGAGCCCTGCAGAACAAGCCTCTACTTTTACACACGCCAGCAGTTTGAATGGTGAGCACAGCCTTCCAGGGAGGGCACGATTCTTGACACATCCCAGAAGAGAAAATGAAGGCTGGGGCGGGGGGGGTGACTTGCCTATTCAGCGGCAGAGCGGGCACTGGGTGACCTGCTGCCAGGCTCGGGGACTGGAGTGTGTGGCTCTCAGGTGCTCCGGAAGCCTCAGAAGGGAGACTGGAGAACAGCACAGGCAGAGGGCAGAGCACTTTGGACACATTTCCCTTGAGAAACCCGGGCTTCCCACGGTGATGGCATTAGGACAGAGTGGCCCAGTGACCTAGGCCTGGACCTGGACATGACAATGCCTCAAGTCCCAGATACGATTTGGCATCCTGGGCACCCCTTCAACATGGGTCCTTCTGAAATATTTAGCCCTCAGACGAGCTGAGCACCGCTGGGGGGCGGGGCACGGGGAGCACATTCTCCCGTGACAGGTGTGCCTCAGCTTACAGAGTCGCTCAGCAAAGCAAAAGCCCTTCAGCGAATCAGACCTACCCTCTGCAGAAGGCTGGTTAGCCAGCATCCATGTCTACTTCGGCGTTTCGCCTCCCTGTCACAGACAGGTCATCACAGTCTTCCATTAGCCACACGCTGTCCTCTCCCTGGGACGGATTCAGGTAAATGTGATTTTCTCCATCTCCAGACACGTTCAGCAATGTTTTAGCTTCCTTTGAGATTCGTGCATCAGGGACTCTATCGGGCATGCCTGGACTTATCCCGCCCTGGACAGACATGATTATAGGAGAGGAGCAAGCCCAGCTGTTCTGTCCTCAGGTTACCAGAGTAGTTACCATGGCAACCTGCAGGCACTCACGGAGGTGTCTGAGGATGAAGCAAGTCCAGAGGGGTGGAGTGGAGAACAGGCATTCAGGAAGGACAGCCCACAGTGGGGCCCTAGCTCAGACAGAAGCTGAACCCCCAACCTGAAGCAGCAGACAGTGAGAATTAAAGGGAGCAGGGGTGCAGGGCCCACCAGGAAGTGGGGGAGCAGGGCCAGGACTAGGGTGAGTTGAACGAGGCATTCATCTGGGGTGCAAAATTTAAGAAGGTGCCAAAACACTCAGTGATCAAGATAAATGATATTTAAATCAAAATGAATGCAAAAATGTCTTCAATAAAATATCAATTTTTAAAACAAGGACAGGGCTGGAATTAGGGTGAGGCAAGTGAGGCCAGGTCCTGTAATCCAGGGTTGGACCCTGACTTGACTAAATATGTGTTTTTGTTCATTATGGATGTTTTTGCATTCGTGTTGCTTTTTAAAAATTATTGTATTACAATATTATTGACCTGGATTACTGAGCTTCTTTGTGGCCCCTTAAATTCTGTACCTGAAGTCAATGCCCCATTTGCCTCAGCCTCGTCTCGGGCCTGGAGGGGAGACAGCCCGAGTCAGGGGCAGGAGGGAGCCTGACGCTGCTGAACATGCAACACGGAACCAGGACACATGAGTTCATGCCTCAGTTCTCACAGAATCAGATTCCGATTTTGCAAACCTTTGCAACTTGAAGACTGCTGCTGGGGAACAGAGGTGCCCAGCATGCACACAGTCCCCTACCTCGGGGTGACAGTGACTCAGAGGGGCTCCCGCCTCCTGCCCCCCTCAGGCTGGCTGTGGAGAGGAGGGGGAAGAGGGAGGGGAATGGAGGAGGTGGACAGGGTAGAGGCTGACGGTTTTGCGTGGCTGGGAGCAGGAATGGCAGATCAGCTGTAATTGCCTGAAGCTGAGAGGCTGTTGATAAGTGTTAATAATAATCAACCTTCAGATCTGACACCCGGCTCAGGCTGGGATTACTGTTTTGAATGGCAATCGAACCCAAACCAGTAATTACCCCGGTGAGTGACGCCAGTCTTCCTCTGGAGCCCGACTAGGCAGGGAAATGGCACCTGCACGTGGGTGTCAGCCCATCCTCGAGACCTCTTCCCAAGAGCATGAGCTGGCCTGGCCTCCGCTCAGTCACCGGGACACAGTCAACAGAAACACCCACCCTTCTTGCTAGGAACTGCAGTGCAGAGGGGTGCCCACGCATCCCTACGGCCTCGACGCAGAGTGCAGACCTCAGACCTCACTCGCATCCCACCTTGGGCTGGGTCTCTTGTGGACATTGTCCTTAGCTGTCAAAAGCAGTTTTAAGGGTTGTGGAGGGGAGGAGAGGGTGGCTGTCCCAATACAGATGCAGCCCTTTAAGTCTCTGTCTGGGACTCATGGACAGCCACACAGTTATTCCCTGTTAGACGGGGAAGCTCCTGGAATGGCCTGAGCTGAGGCCCAGTGAGAGGGGCAAGGCCCACAGGTGTAGAGCCCACCCCAGTCCCTGTCTCCATCCCTGTCCCAGACTAGACCAGGTATGCCTGGCAACTCTCCCTGGAAAGCAGCAGCATTCTCCTGCCCTCGCCTGTCTCCTCGGTGCCTCTCACGCTATCTAGGGGAGCCCCAGAATGCTGGCACCACCCAGAACCAGGCTGGAGCGGGCAAGGCTGCTCCTGCCTCTGACCCAGCTCCCTTCCGGGGTATACCGGTGCCTGAGCCCTTTCCCCAGGCTTCCCAGCAGGGTAGCTGCTTCTAAAAGGCATTCACTGGACACACTTCGGTGGTAAACAGTAGTAACATATCATTCACCACCAAACACCTTCTTCCCTCTCCGCTGTGCCAGGTCCTGTGGCCCAGAGGAGAATAAAACAGTCCCTGG